CCAGGAAGACATCAATTGGTGACTCTTGGCTGCCCCTGCCCCAGGGAGGGGGAGGGAGGGGGACCAGGCAAGGCCAGTCCCTGGCCCTCATGGCAGGACTTGGGTCTGTGGTCTTGGAGCAGAAGATCCAGCTTCAACTTGGCCACAGGCCTAGGAAGGGGTAAGGGCAGCTGCCAGCCATGCCCACTGTGGTCTCCTTTAAGAGGAAGGAGCCAGCACTTCAGAATGCATTTTGGAACATGGAGGTCTCCCAGAACCCATTAGGATGGGTTGTCTGTCCTCGGCATGGAGGCGTGTCCGGCACCCAGTCAGCTTCCCCCCCTGGCCTCTGCTGCTCCAGCTCTTGTGTCCCTGGGAGGACTGGGGAGGACTCTTAGCTTTCAGCATACCAGCCAGGTCGCTCTCAAGAGCTCTGGTTTCGGGGAACGTGATCCCCGGGGTGTTTGTGGCCTCCAGTTTCTCGGGGGCCTGGGGCACAGGGTGGCAGTGGCTGAGCCAGCCTCGTGAGCTTGGCTGCCTATGAAGGGCTCCGGGCCAGTGGTGGCCCAGGCAGTGCCTGCAACTTACTAATGGGCAAACCCTGAGCCCAGAGCATAGCCCTAGGCTGACCCTGGCCGTGGCGGCCTCTTTGCTCTGCCTCCCTGTGTCTGCTTTGGGGTTCTGAGGCTTGCTTAGTGGGGTCTAGGATGCTCCCAGTTAGGCAAACACACTGCATCCTGGGACAGTTCTGGAAATCTTTGCAGGATGAGGGTGAGCACAGGGGCATCTGGGTGGTTTCTGTAATTTCTCCCAGCTGAGCGAGGCAATGTGCCATGGGGGCCCAGGCTTTGTAATACGATGGATTGGGTTTGCATCCTGGCCTTGCCCTTGCCAGCTGTGTGGCCTTGATCAAGCGACTTACCTTCTTCTTTAAAAAAAATTTCTTTTTTATTAATTTCAGAGAGAGAGAGAGATCAATGATAAGAATCATTGATCAGCTGCCTCCTGCACATCCCCTACTGGGGGTTGAGCTTGCAATCAAACCTGGGATCCCTCAGTTTGCAGGCCAATACTATAGCCACTGAGCCACACCAGCTAAAGCAAGCTATTTGAATTGGTTGAACTGGTTTTCTCATCTGTGGAGCAGGGGAACTTAGCACCTGCTTGGCCACGGTGGTCAGGAAATGAATTCTTTTATCACACACACACACACACACACACACACACACACACACACTCCTTTCTTGCAGCAGCAGTCACAGGGGTCCTGTTAAGATGTATGTCAGGCCAAAACGGTTTGGCTCTGTGGATAGAGGGTCGGCTTGTGGGCTAAAAGGTCCCAGGTTCAATTCTGGGCACATCCCCAGTAGTGGGTGTGCAAGAGGCAGCTGATCGATGATTCTCTCTCATCGATGTTTCTAACTCTCTATCCCTTTCTCTTCCACTCTGTAAAATATCAATAAAATATATTTTTAAAAAAATGTATGTCGGCTCATGCCATTCCTCAGCTCAAAGTCCCCCAGTGACCTCTCACCAAAGTCAAAGTCAAAGCTTCCACAAAGACCCCCACCCTGAGACGTCCTCTCTCTGCCATCTCCCTGCTGCCTGGGCTCCTTGCAGCTCCAGGGCACCTGGCACACTCCTGCCGGGGTCCCGGCACTGCCACCCCGGCCTGGAATACATGTGCCTGGGACCTCTGTCTGCACGGCCTCTCCCTCTCCGCCTAGCTCCGGTGCCGTCCTGTCCTGAGGGCTCCCAGCTGCTCCTGGTCCTGCAGGGCCTCCTTCCCTCTGTCTGGTGTTCCTTCCTCTACAGCCAGACCGATGCCTGGCACAGCGGGAAATGCCTCTTGTTGATCATCTCCACTCGCAGGAACGTAAGCCCCGCAGAGGCAGGGTTTCGGGCCTATTGATGTGCTCACGTTCATACTCACCGCCCTGGGCCAGCCACACGAGCAGGGCCGTACTGTTCGGTAAGTGAATACAGGCATGCAGGTGAGGACTCGAGTTCCGGGGGTGCAGGTACGAGGGGGCATGGCATGAAGAGCACTGACACTTTCCTTATTTTGCCAAATGAGGGCCTGGGGCGAGGTCCCCAGGAGCCCATGAACCCGTGGGAGCTGTGACATCTTGGGGGAGGGGAGTCCCGCCTCCTGTGTTTTCCGGGGACGAGCGCCCCAGCTTTCCACAGACAATTAGCAGAGCCTATGACCTCCTCGGAGCTGAGTTCCCGCCCTCTGACCTCTCGTGGTGGGCTCTAACAGGCTGACATCCCTGCCGGCTAAGGACCCGGGGTGCTCACACTCCATGGCCTTGCTCAGCTTCAGCAGCCGCCAGGGTCAGCGGTTGAGGGTGGGGCGTGTGGGGACACTGGAGGGAAGACAAAGGGGACTTGTATATTACACGTGCTGTTTCCTTCCTTCTCCTACGAAAGAAAGTGGGCCGAAAGCGAGGCTGACAAAGTGTGTGCGGCCCTCACAGCACGGGGTGCCGTCACAGAGAGCTCCGTTTTGTTCTGTGGGTCCCATTTCTTCAACAGAATACAGGCTCGGAGGTGGGCAGGCTGACAGCTTATGGTCAGGGATGGCGAGGCCATTTCTGGGGGCCTGAGGACGGTGGTCACCGCCGGCCCCTTCGCGGTGGGGGAATGGGCAGAGGGTGGCGGAGTCTGGGCCCAGCTGCTTTCCTGCCCGGCTCCCCTCCCCGGCTCTCAGTTTCCTGCCGTCCCGGGGAGTGGGAAAAGGCTGAGAGGCCCCGTGCTGGGGATGGAGCTAATTCATTAGTGACGCCTCAACAAGAACTGGGCGCCCGCAGTGCCAGCGTGATTCATCAGCGTGATTGCCCGCTGCCAGCCTGCGTGGGCCGGAATGCCAGCACATTTTACCTGTACCCACCGAGAAGGACCCGGTGGGAGGCGGAGGTACTGAGCGAGAGCAAGAAAAAGCCTGGAGAAAGGAGAGGGCTGGTCCCCGCGCCCCGGGACCCAGGACGCTGTGCCCGGCGGGCGGGTGCTGGAGAGGCAGGGCATGTGGCTCCTGCCGGCACAGGCAGTGCCAGCTCCAAGCATGTGGTGAGGGGGGCTGCTGGGCTGCCTCCTCCACAGCGGATGTTCCCTCAGGGGGCATCTGTTTGAGGGGCAGCAGGGGGTGGAGATGGGGGGGGTGGGGGGATGGGGGGAGAGGCGCTCAGCCTTACCCATCAGCTTGGCTGGGTTTTCCTCCGGGAAGTTCTCCCAAAGGAGCAGAAGGGAGAGCTGAGTGGGGGCTTGGGTGAGGCCTGGAGGGAGCAAGAAGCCCCCCCCCCCGCCCCGGCTAAGCCCCAGGCCCTCCCCTCTCCCCCCCCAGCTCTGGTGTCAGGGCTGTGCTTATTCTCCGCCTGGGTCCCCCCTCCCTCAGGGGTCCTGTCTGCATCTCATCCGTTCCCATCCCAAGACCGGGGTCCCGGGCTGGCTGCTGGCTGCAGCAATACCTGTCTCTGTGTCCCCGAACCCCGACATCCCTAGCCCTGTTGCCACTGCTCTTGCTCCTTTATCCCACGCTCACACGGCGTGTCTGAGCAAACGCAGTCAGGAGCGAAGGGAGTGCATGCATACTGAGTAACTTCCTTCACATGGAAGGCGAGAACAGGCCCCACCGGCCCGCGATGAGAGCGGTCAGGGTCACGGCTGACCCTGGAGGTGGGAGGTGACGGTAAGAGGCACCAGGGGACTCCGAGTGATGGCAATACTACAAGGCTGTTCACATCTGTCAAAGCTCAAACTGCACCCCTGGCCGGTTTGGCTCTGTGGATTGCTGCGGACTGAAGGGTCCCAGGCTCGATCCCTATCAAAGGCATGTGCCCAGGTTGCAGGCTGGATCCCCCTGCTATAGGGGGTGTGCAGGAGGCAGCGGATCAATGTTTCTCTTTCTTCATTCTCTCTCCCTCTCCCTTCCTCTCTGAAATCACCCCCCAACACCCCCCTCCGCCAGTGGGGTGACCTTGGGCAAGTCACTCAGCTCATCCAACCCCGGGAGCCAGCCTTCCTGCCCCAGCCCGGAGCTTTGCAGGAGGCTCCGCGGGGGCGGGAGCGGCGGTGGCGGGAGCATGCGCAACAGGCAGTCCCGGGTGACAGGGTCCCGGTGGGCGGCGCTCGGAGGCGCTCAGGTGCGGGTCCTCCGTCCTCACGCAGCCTGAGCGCCGCGGGCGGGCGGGACGGGCGGGAGGGGGTGCGCGCGCGGAGGAGGAACCTGCCGGCGAGACGGGCGTCCCGGCGCGGACGGGGCGGAGCCAGGCTGAGTCCCCGAAAGTCCTGGGATGGGACCCGCCGCGAGGAGGGCCGGGCGGCAGCGCTGCTCCGGAGGAGTCCCTGTCCGGAGTGGCCCTCGCGGGGAAGCCAGTCGCGGGCGGCGGCGGCGGAGGGGCCGCGGTGACCGCCCTCCGCAGGCCCCTCTCCAAACCTCGTGTCCGGAGTCCGTGGGGCGCGCCGGCGTCTCCGGCCTTCGCTCCCTTCTTCCCGGACTTGCGGGTATGGGCGCCAATGGCCGCCACACCGAGCGGCTTGCCGCGACGGGCGAGCGTCGCAGGGCGGGTCTGCGCCCGCAGAACGCCAGGCTCGGGGGGCGCGGCTCCGGGGTGCCCTCGGCCCGCGCTGCCCGGCGCCCGGACCCCGGCACCGGGAGCTCCGTGGCCCCGCCCCGCCCCGCCCTCCCTCCGCCTCATTGGCAGCCGCGTCGGGGGTTGCCAGGGCGACGGGTCGCTTAGCTGCGAGTCAGAGCGAACCCGAGCCAGTCCGCCGGCGTCGGGAGCCGGGAAGGCCAGAGGGCGAGCCTCCGAGCGCGGCGCCCCGAGGCCGGGCCCCGAGCGGGGGCCTCCTGTCGGCCGCGCGCGGCCCCCCTCCCGGCGCAGGGCCAGGCCGGGGCGGGGGGCCCCCGGAGCCGGGGCGGCCTCGGCCCCGTCGGGGAGACGAGGGGGCGACCAGGGCGGAGCGATGCCGCGCGGCGGCGGCGGCGGCGGCGGCGGCGGCCCCGGTCGGGGCCCGTGACCATGGGCATCGCCGAGTCCACCCTGGACGAGCTGCCGTCGGACGCGGAGGAGCAGCTGCGCCACGGCGAGCAGCAGCTGGAGCTGAGCGGGCGGCGGCTGCGGCGCCTGCCCAGCGCCGTGTGCGCGCTGAGCCGCCTGGAGAAGCTGTACGTGAGCGGCACGGGGCTGCGCGAGCTGCCGGAGGAGATCGAGGAGCTGCGCGAGCTGCGCATCCTGGCGCTGGACTTCAACAAGCTGGAGCGCCTGCCCGACGGCCTGTGCCGCCTGCCGCGCCTCGCGCGCCTCTACCTGGGCGGCAACCGGCTGCTGGCGCTGCCCGGCGACTTCGCCCAGCTGCAGAGCCTGCGCTGCCTCTGGATCGAGGGCAACTTCCTGCGGCGCTTCCCGCGGCCGCTGCTGCGCCTGGGGGCGCTCCAGTCGCTGCAGATGGGCGACAACCGGCTGCGCGCGCTGCCCGCCGACCTGCCGCGCATGACGGGCCTGCGCGGCCTCTGGCTCTACGGCAACCGCTTCGAGGAGTTCCCGCCCCCGCTGCTGCGCATGGGCCGCCTGCATATCCTCGACCTGGACCGCAACCGCCTGGGCGGCTTCCCGGACCTGCGCCCGCTGCGCTCGCTGCGCGTCTTCTCCTACGACCACAACCCGGTCACCGGACCGCCGCGCGTCGCCGACACCGTCTTCCTCGTGGGCGAGGGCGCCGTGGAGCGCATGGCCGAGCGCGACGAGCCCGTCCCCCGGCGGCCACCCCGGCGGCCGGCACGGGCCTTCGAGGATGACGAGGAAGAGGACCTGCTCATCGGGGGCGGGGGCTCCCGGGCCCTGGGGGCCCCGGGGGGCAGCCTGCGCACTCTGGACGCTGCTCCAGGCCTGGGCACCTGAGCCTGTGCTCTGGGTGATGGACTTCGGCGGCCCTGGGAGGAGGGGCTCCGGGGAGCACTGTGGGAATGGTGGGCAGAGCAGGGGCCACGTTGGGAGAGTTGCCCGGGGGTCTTCTTCAGACAGGCCTGCGCGGTCGTCAGACCAGGAAGCATGGCTCCAGCCAGCCTCCGTGTCTGTGTGGGGCCCCTGAGAGGGTCACTGCCAACACAACAGAGAGGCCCGCTTCCTCCCGGAAACCGGCCACTGCTGTCGGTGGAATCAGCACCTGGCGGAGGGTGGACACCCAGGTGCCCATCATCTCCTGCCTCCTGGAGGTTGGCTCTCCCAGGCCCGCCGCCTCTGGAAGGGCTGCTGCTGCGAGGCAGGCCTGCCCGGGGAGGAGGGCCTGGCCGGGCAGAGGCCTGCAGGGGCCGGTGCCCAGGACAGAAGTGGGAACCTGGGATTGGGGCCCCTTCACCAGGGCGCCTGGACATACCTCCTTCCCCATTCCTCCCATCCCCCCCAATTTGTATGGGGAGGGGCGGGGCTCAGGAGGCAGGGCCTGCACCTCGCCTTGTATCGTTCTCTCCTCCCAGCTTGTGCCTGGAATCTGGCAGCGAGAGAAGCTTGTCCTCCCTCCCCCGCCAAGCCTCCCAGCTGTCAAGGTTGACAAGCAGCCACTCTGCCTGGAGGCCTCCTGCACGGAGAGCGTGCGCGGGGCTGGGGAGGCGGCCCAGCGCCTTTCCCACTGCCTGCACTCTCCATTCCCTTAAATGGGCACAGCCAGGGCGGCTGGCACGGCGCGGGGCATGGGACGAGCACTGTGTGCCTCTCCTCCGTCACCAGGGACAGCCTCAAGTGGGTGAGGAGGGGCCTCACTCTGCCATTCCCGGGGCCAGATCTTTCCCATCCGAGCAATAATGGGCGGGGTGGGCGGGGCCAGGGACACTCAGGGACACTGTCGGGGCCAAGGCCCCACGTGGTGGTGGTGGTGGTTTCTTTAGGAAGAGGGGGGGAAAAAAACTGGCTGCAAGCAAATTACATTTGTTGGAGAAAGAATGTGCATTTCCCCACGCCTATTTATTTAAAGCTCTGGGGGCACCGGGTCCCACTGCTGCGGGGCCCTGGCTCCCTCTGGCACTGCCCTCTGTCCCTGGGCCTGGGCTCTGAGGGAGCCATGCAGCCCACTGCCGCCTTCTGTCTGGGGAGCAGGCCCAAAGGCTTTGGCTGCTCAAGGCTGCTCCCATCCGGCTTGCTGTAGCTTCCCCTCTGTCGCCCAGCCCCCAGCTCCGCCCCTTCCTTGTCTCCTCCAGGTTAACGCTCAGGTTCCCGACACCTAAGATGCTCCTGAGTCTCCCTCAAGCTGGGCTGGCCTTTCTCCATTCCTTCCCTGGCACTGACCTCCTGTGATCTCCTCCCCCCCCCCCCCCCGGGACTCTGTTCTTCCCTCCTTCCAGCTCCCTCTTCCTCTCTTTCCCTCTTAGTTTCTTTTTCTCCGGTTATGGTTTGACTTTCTCCCCTCGTTGTCCAGGGAAAAAAAGGGGGGAAATTTTAAAACTTTAAAAAAGGAAGAAAATGGTAAAGCTCCAAGCCTAGAGGCCCATCTCCCATGAGATGCTGCTAGGCCACCATCACCATGGTGACAGGGCTGATGTCATTCAAGGCCCAAAGGTCAGGCCTGGCCCAGCAGTTCTGCTGGCCACTGGGCTGGGCCTAGGTTGGGAGGCAGCTGGGGAGGGACTGGAGCAGTCAGCTTGCCAGTGAGAGTGACGGCAGAACACGGGGAGCTGGGGGGCTGGCTGCCTCCTGCTTGAGGAGGAAGAGGGGGCCGGGGTGCTGCAGACGTGGTCCCCCCTGGAGCTCCTCAGCTCCCCGCACTCACCCTGTGTGGCTCCTTCCAGGCCGGGGGGCCTTCTCGGGGCCTGGGGACTTAGAGGAAGGACATAGTCCCACAGGCCGGGGAGGAGTGGCTGCCGGCAAGAATGTCCTCTGACCCCGTGCCCCCTGCCATGGCATCGGAAGGCTTGGGTTCCAGTCCTCGGTCTATTGACTGACCTTGAGAAGGTCATGGCGCCCCTGCACCCCCGACCTGGGGGTCCTCAGGTCCTCCGTCTGCACACAGGAGGTGGGCTGATTTAGATCCCACTGCAGCTCAGGAACCCGTGAACCCTATCTGTCTGCCCTTTATGTGCATCTTAGATGCCGGGGTGCAGGGTGGGAGGGGAGGGGGGCAGCCTCTGTCACAAGTACCTGTTGGCACTGTGAGCCCCAGGGTCCTTCCTCTTCCTCTTCCTCTTTCTCCTCTTCCTCCTCCTCTCCTCTCTGGTCTGTTTCCCTGAAACTCTCCTTGCAGCACTCACTCGAGAGCTTCGGGCAAAGGCTCCTGGGCCGGCCCCTGGCTTTGTTGCTTCACCATCAGGAGCCGGCTCCCGGGGACGGAAAGTTTGCCTAAAGTGGGGGCTGATGCCCAGCTGGAGAGCGCTCGGAGGGCTTGTCTACCTGCGGAAATGGGGGACGACCCGGGGAGGGAGGGGCTGTTGCCAGGACCGCTGGACAGTCCAGCTAGGCCCCCTGGGTGAGGAAAGGAGCACAGTGTTAGGAGGCCTAGGGCCCCTCCCCCCATAACTGCCCGTGCCTCCCTCCGGGAGCGGGAGGAGGGGGTGACTTGGAGGGCCACTGTTAACACTACATGTGGGCCCCGGGGGAAGACGTGGGGCGGGGAGGCTGGTTAGGAGGGCTGTGAGGAGTTGTGGTTGTGCCAGGCCTGAGGGCAGAGGCCAGGGAGTCTGCATCAGAGCAGGAGGCAGGCAGTGGGAGGAGAGCAGAGCTGTGGCAGGGCAAGAGGCGGCCTAGGGAGGGAGGGTGCTGGGCCTCCGAACCTGGCGCTCAGTCCCTGCCGGCCAGGTCCCCTCTGGCCTGGGCTGGCCGTCAGGTCTGGGTGGGGGAGGAGTGGTGGTTGTCAATGACCTGCTCGTCTTCCCTCTGGACCCTCCTCCCCCCCAGCCAGACCTCCTGGCTGGCAGAGCAGCAGAGATGGGGGAGGGTAGCTTTGTCAAGCCGTCCCCTCTTCCTGGCCCCTGTCAGGCGCTTGGGCAAGCAGAACAGGGTGCTGGGGACCGGGCCCCGCCCAGAAGTCGCCTCCTTGCCTCCCAGGCTCCCACGCGCCTGCTCAGCATCGGTCCCCACGCTGCCGGAAGACACGTGGCATCTTGTTCTGAGGATGGACGTTTATTAGCGCACCCAGGGGTGCCACACGGAACACAGATTGAGATAGGGATTCCTGCCCAGGGGGCTCACAACTAAACGAGACACAACAGACACGTGCACACAGGACACGGACACACAGGCCACGGACACGGAGGGGGGCCGCTGCCAGGGGTGCCGGCGGGAGAGGGGCCGTGGGCGGGGACGCAGCGTGTTCAAGCATCGCCCTCCGGTGTGTCTGCGTGGGGAGCCGGGAGAGCGAGTGCAGCCATGATGGCCTTCCCGAGGCGCCGAGCCCAGGAGAGCGAGCCCCAGGGGCAGCGGACAGGCCCCGGGCGGGAAGGGCCAGTCTTGCGGATGACCAGGGGCCTAACCAAGTGGAGGCAGGAGAGCGAGGCAGAAAGTGCAGAAGGCGGAGCCCACAGCATGATGGAGCCCACGGCAGGAGGCCGCCCCCTAGGCTGGGAGCTGTCCCTGCTCTAGGCCGGTTCCCAGGGCCATCTCCCCGCAGAGAGCTCCGGGGCGGTTTCTCTGAGCTACTTACCTGACCTTCAGGCCCCCTCCCATCTCCAGGGCAGAGATCAGAAGAAAAAAGAAACCCCACCTTGTAACTGGCGTTTGCATGGACTGCCAGACATGGAGGGAGGGGAGGGAGAAGGTGTGCAGCTTCCTGTGGGGGTTTCGGCGCTGCAGGAGGCAGCTGCTGGCCAGTGAGCAGGGGGCGCGATGGCCCCCACTCTGGGGTGGACACATGACAACTGAGGGCCCTCCTTCCCTGGTGCCTGTAACGGGGATAGCACCGTCCCCCCCCGAGGTGCCCTGAGAGCGGCCGGCGCTGTGTCCCCTGCCGGCCGGGGTGCGGGCGGTTGGATGGTTATTGCTCCTCTGTGGCCCGCGAGGGCAGATAGGAAATGGCTCACCCTGGTGGCCGGAGGACCCTGGCCCCGGTTCCTTTGGGTTCCTTTGGGCCGGGCTGGCCACGGGCTTTTTTGAGCTGGAGAGATTTTTCTAACCCGGAAGGAATCAACCCAGAAAGGGCGGCGAGAAGCCACAGGCCCAGCCACTGGAGCGGCCCCCGAGGGCCGGGAAGGAGCCGCTGACCTGAACACGGCGGCCGTGGGGGAGGTCGAGCCCCTATTGGGTCTGTCTGACCCTCCTTGGAGGGTGGCGAGGGTCCCCTGAGACGTGGGGGAGGGGATGTGAGGCCAGGCGAGCTACAGGGTGCCCTCAGACCTCACCGTGACCCCGCTCCTAACACGCCGTGCTTTAGGCCTAAGCCTGGAGCCTGGCTGCTCCCCGGGCACCGGGTGCTGATGTGCGGCTGAAGGGCCTCATGGCCAAGGTGACAAGATGAGGGGAGACTCTGGCCCAGGCTCCCCACCCCTCACCCCTCTGCCTCTTCCCCTGGGCGGGGCGGGGCTGGGCCCACGGAGGAAACAGCCAAGGCCCGATTTGTCCACGATCCTTTATTAACCGGAGCGGCCCCACCAGAGCGGGGCCGCCCCCACAGAGATACGGTTTGCAAAGAGGACGTCTCTGGCTTAGAGGGTGTGCGTGGTGGAAAGTTTATGGTTCTTTTTTCCTTTTTTTTTTTTTTTCTTCTTCGGTTTTTCATTTCTCTTGAATGCATTTTTTTTTTTTTTGTGACAGTGGGCTTTTTTTTTTTTTTTTTTTTTTTTTTTTTTTAAGTAAAACACTTGCTCTCACGGACTCCAACACAATACAAACAACGGCTACCAGCCCCCAGCCCTGGGCCCCAGCGGGTTGGGGGGCTGGGGCCCCCTCGCGTGGTTGTGGCTGTGTTCCTGGTGTGGGCACGGTGGGCAGGGCGAGGCCCTGGGCGGTGGGGTCTGTACAGCAGCGCCCTGGGGAGACGTCACAAGAAAGGGAACCTGGACAGGTGACGGCTAAGTCTAGGGGCCACGGAGACGGAGACGACGCTCAGAAAGGGGCCGGGACGTAGCGGAGGAGGGAGATGTGGGCCCAGGCCGGCCACGCGCCCAGAGGCGCCATGGAGAGGCGGGGTGGTGGTGGGGAGAGGCCGGCGCGCCTTGCTTCCAGCTGCAGGAATAACACGCTGGCTGCTTGCGGGGAGCCCCTCCCAGTCCCCCCAACACCCCTCCCCCGCCGTGACTCCAGGTGGCGGCGGCCTCACAACCTCCCCTATGAGGTAGGTGAAGAATTGTTGCCATCATTTTACAGATAGGGAAACTGAGGCCCCGGGAGGGTGGGTGGTTTGCCCAAGGTCCTGGGATGGCGGCAGGGCTGCGGTGCCCGCCCCTATCCCCGTTCCCCCATTCCCTGGACCAGCCCGCACTCTCCGCAGACCCCCCTCCCCCTCCCGGGGCAGCGCACCAGGTCCTTGGCCCACCGCCTGCGCCCCTCCTCTGCGTCCCGGCTGCGCGGGCGGGGACGACCCAGGTCAGAGCGGGAAGACCCCGCGCAGAGATGCTTTCTGTTTGATTGGCTGAGAACCCAGTGGGCGGGGCTGGGGGCGGGAGAAAGGCTGCATTTGGCCCGCCCACTATTTGCAAATTAGTGCACCCCCTTTCCCTCCCCCCCCGCCGGGTTCTGCCCCCCGCCCCCGCCCCTGGCTCACACGCTCGCCTCCCGCGGGGTGCAGGGGCGCAGGGCCCCCCTCTGCCTGCCGAGACCGCACCCCCTCTTTGCTTCCCCACAGCCTCCGGAGTCCCCGCCTTCCCCCCCCGCTGGGGGCTGGTCCCAGCCCGCTCGGGGAGGAGGGGGCAGACCCCCAGTTTGAGCAGAGCTACCCTAGAGCAACAGGTGGGTTTACAAGGGATGGGGGCGACTCGCTGTGCACACGAGCGCTTTCCACTCTGCAGCGCGACCCACCGACTGCGGGCCTTCCACGGGGCAGGGGTGCGGCTCCATGACAGGAAGTTTGATCCGGGAAAAACGCTCCGCTCCGGGGGCGCCTACGGAAGGAGGGTGGTCCCCAAATGCCCATGCTGTGGCCACGCTCCGTAAACGGGGCCCTGCCCAGAGTTCTTGCCCGGGGTGCCGCCTCCGCCTGGGGCAGGCCTTGGTCCGAGAGCGCGGTCTCCGACCGCGGTGTCCTGGCGCCACCTGGCGGTGGGTTCCGGGAATGTCAGGTCCCGCTCCGGACCCCGGGGACGGGAAGCTGTAGCCAGCCGTCCTGAATCACTACCAGGCCCCTAGGGGGATGCGCAGGCTTAAGCAGGGGCAACCCCGAATCTGCTGTCGCCAAGGGACAGGATCTGCAGCCCTGGAGGCCGCGAAACCTCCGAACTCCCCACACCCGCCCCCACCTCCTCCACTCACCCCTCCCCTGTTCCTCCTCTCTTGGGCCCCCGAATTTTCCCTGCTTCCCTGCCCTGAACTAAGAAGGGGAGCAGCGGGGAGGGGAGGAGACGCTCCAGGAGGAGAATGGGAGAGGCTCCAGGAGCAGAGACGGGGACAGGGAAGGGGAGCAAGCAGGAGGATGGAGCGGGCGGAGTGTGTGGGGGGTGGGGTGGGGGTGAGGGCGGGTCTGCACGGACAGGGCAAGAAGGGGAAGAAAGTGAGACTCAGGTAAAATATTGCCAGTGGGGCTGGGCTGTGTGATCTGGGGCGAATAAGGGTGTCTCTGGGAGGAAGCGTGGCGGAAGGGGATGCATACAGTAGGTGCCTAAAAGGTGAAACAATGTTCAAGAGATGAATGATGTCACCGGGAAGGAGCTACCGGAGAACTCTGAGCAGAGAGAGGCCCCTGGGGGGGGGGGGGTTTACAGCTGGAGGCAGCCCAGTTCTCAGCCCAGCTGCCTCTGCCCCTCTTCCCCACGCGGCCCTCCCCGCCCCTCCTCACCCCTCCCTGCTCCTCCTCTCTGGCCCCTGGCTCAGTGCACTGTCCCTTCCGGCCTCCAGCCCCGCCTCATTTCATGAAACCCTGCCCCCTCTGCACAGTCTTCACACCGCTGGCCCCAGGGGCACAGGGAGCAAGCCCCCCACCCACATACATGCACACGCGTGCACACACATACACACACATGGTGGACACAACACAAGTACACAGGGCTGCGGCTCCAGGGCCCCCGAGGGGCTCTATGCTGTCCTTGGCGCTCGGGACCCAGCCGGCACCTGAGACTGCCCTGGGTCCGGCCTCTCCTGGCCAGGCCGGGGCCCGTCACCCCGGCCTCCCCTCTCCTGGGCCTCGCTCCACTCCAGGCTCCGCCTTAAAGAAAACGGGGGGCGATGCCCCCCTGGCGGGCCTCTGGAGGAGTCTGCCCTGCCCGGCTCTCACGGCCTCCCCCACTTCTTCAGTCTCAGCAAGTCAGGAAGGTAAAGGGGCAAAGCAGGAAAATGGCTCCCACAGCCCCTCCCCCAGAGCTGGCCTGGCGGAGGAGGGGGCTGGTGCTTCCTAGAAACGGGGCCCAAGTGACCTCTGGGACCCCTCCCTGGCCGAGCCGGCAGGGTGCTCCCTCGCCCGCGCAGGGGGCCGGGCCAGGCGTTGTGCATAAAGTGGTGCGGGCGTGATGGGGGCCCGGTCCCGGCCCCTGGGCCTCCTCCGGCCGCCTCAGGCCTTCAGCTGGTGCCACTGGGCCACGGGCTGCCGCGGCCGCGCGATCATGTCCTTCCAGTGCTTGACCTCCCCGGGCCCGCTCTTCCAGGACAGGTAGATCTGGGGGAGAGGACGCGTTGGTGGCGTACTCCCCGGGCAACGTCCCAGCCCCACATGAGGTGACCCTGCCACCTAGGATCAGGGGGGACCAGGGGCCTCCTGACAAGCCCCTCGCCAGGTCCTCCCCCTCGCTTGTGGGCCTGTGGGGCAGGGGGACCTCACACTCATGGGGAGGAGCAAACAGGCTCAGGAAGGGGAGCCCGCTCAGAGTTAGGGCCGGGAGCTGGGAGCTGGCCCAGGCCGCCGCCTCCCAGGCTCACCCGCTTAACCCTAAACTCTACGGAGCAGGGACAGCTGTTTCCAAGTAGGAAATGGAAGGGTTATGCCCAGAGGCACCTCCTGGAAACCTCTAGGGGCCGGGCATGGGCTCTCTGGCTCTCCTACGAGGAGGAGCAGTCTCGGTTTACCAGGAGGACAGCCTCAGGGGGACAGCCCTCATGGGACAGCCTTTAGGGGGACAGCCCTCAGGCACCCTTACCCCCCTCCCCTCCTCAGGGAGTCCTGCAGAGTCGGAGCAGCTGCTCCATTTGCCCAGGTGAGAGTCCTGAAGCTCAGAGAGGCCAGGACCCGCCCAAGGTCATGCAGCTGCAGCAGGGAGGCGGGGCGTGCCCCCACAGCTCGCCCTGTGCAGGTGGGACCCCGGGGGACGCTGCTCCGCGGTCCTCTCCCCGAAGGTCACTTTGGGATCCCGGGCAATCCTTCCTCCCCCGCCTTTCCGCCTGGCTGTCCTGGTGACGGAGCCACAGCACCAGGCGGCGGGAGAAGCCCCTCCAACCCCCATCTTCAGAGGCCCGGGGGCGGGTGGGGGGGGAAGGCTGCCCCTTCTCTCCCTCCGCAGCCCTGCGCTCGCCCACGCCCCTCCTGCGTCCTGAGGCGCCCCCGCCGGCCGCCCTACCTTGCCGATGACGTCGTTGCGGCTGAGCCTGTCCTTGTCCATGACGGTGATGATGATGGTGGTCTCCCTCAGCTTCTCCGTGGGCACGTCGAAGGCAAAGGACTCGTTGAAGATGGGGTTCAGGTTCCTCTTCAGCGTCACCGTCTTCTTCTTCTCCACCCGCTTGTCCTTGTACATCAGCCACACCTTCACGTAGGGGTCTGGGCACCAGGGGGGCAGGGTCAGCCGGCAGCGGGCGGCTTCCCAGGGCGCCCATCTTCCTCCCCCTCCCCGCCCTCCCTCCCTCCCTGGGGCGGCAGCAGGGGCGGCGGCGGGGGGTGGGGCTGTGTGCTCTTTGCAGAGGGTCAGGATACCCCCACCAAGAGAGGGGTCGGGACCGCCGGACCGAGGAGCCACCCTGATGCCCCCTGCGCACACGGAGGCAGAAACTCAGCCGGAGAGGCCGGGTCTCTCCCGAGGCCACAGACAGTGGTGTGGGAGCTGGGGTTCGAGCCAGGCCCCCCGGCAGTGTCCCTGCTCATGCTTCTGGGAGGACAGTCCAAGAGGACGCAGCCCCGAGGCTGCCGGGCCCAGGGCTCTGGGGCAGGAGTGGAGACTGGAGGTGGGCTGCGGGGGGGAGGGTGATGGGAAGAACGGGACCCCGTGTACAGAGCCTCCTGCCTCCCCCCACCCCCCGCCGGCCCCCACCGCAGGAGGCCCGCACCTGACGTGCCCCCGATGTCCATGGCTTTGAGGTTCCGGGCTTTGATGATGTTGACGATGATGGAGTTGGCAGAGGGGTTGTAGCAGAGCGACAGGAGCAGCTCTCCTCGGCTCCCCTGGGGGACAGGGCCGGTGAGCTGGGGGGGGCACCCCTCCCACAGCATGCCTGACCCCCCCACCCCCAGCCCTGACCCGCCAGCCCCCGCTCATGCCCGCGCCGGGCCTTACACTCCCATCGCTGCATGGCTTCAGATCCTTCCAGAAGGTCTGCATCTGGGTCAGGTCCACCTTGTTGAGGGGGATGGACACCTCCCCAATGGGGTCGTTGCGGCTGAAGCGGTCGTAGTCTAAGACCTGGAGGTAGAGGACCCTCTGCACCACCTTCTCGTAGGGGAAACCTGGGGACAGACAGCGCAGTGAGGCCTGGGGCCGCGGCCGGGGAGGGGAGGGGGGGACGGGGCCGGCTCTGAACAGAGGGCCTGCCCCCTGCCTGCCGCCGCCTGGGCCCAGGCCACCCCTGTATGGACCCTCCGGATCCTCCCAAAGCCTCAGTGAGAACCATCATCTCATTGGTTCCCATTGACAACTCTCCTAGGCGGATGCTACTGGTCCTTTTTTAAAAAAATATATTTTTTATTGATCTCAGAGAGGAAGGGAGCGGGAGGGAGAGATGGAAACATCAATGATGGGAGAGAATCATTGATCAGCTGCCTCCTGCATGCTCCACACTGGGAATTGAGCCCACAATTTGGGCACATGCCTTGACCGGGAATCGAACTGTGACCTCCTGATTCCTAGGTCAACACAGAGCCACACCGTCCGGGCTCTCTTGTCTTTTTACGGATGAGACTAAGCTCAGATGGCTTAAGTCACTAGCCCAGGTCCCACAGCGAATGCAAAGCACTGGGACCATTCATTCAGTCACTCACCCACCCACCCACCCACCCACTCACCCACTCACCCACTCACTTACTCCCCCACACACCCACTCACTCACCCACCCACTCACTCACCCATCCATTCACCCACCCACCCACCCATTCACCCACCCACCCACTCACTCACCCACCCACTCACCCACTCACCCACCCACTCACCCACCCACTCACTCACTCACTCACCCACTCACCCACCCACTCACTCACCCACCCACCCACCCATTCACCCACCCACCCACTCACTCACCCACCCACCCATCCACCCACCCACTCACCCACCCACTCACTCACCCACCCACCCACCCACCCACCCACCCACTCACCCACCCACTCACTCACTCACCCACCCACCCACCCACCCACCCACTCACCCACCCACTCACTCACCCACCCACCCACTCACCCACCCACTCACCCACCCACTCACTCACCCACCCACCCACTCACTCACCGCGAACCCGACTCTGTGGCTGCGCTGTGGTCCCCTTGCCCCCTGGCAGCCCTGCCATCATTACCCATCGTCCCGAGGCAAGTCTGGGCCAGCAGCCCAGCCCGAGAGGACCCCGGGCTGGGCTGCTGGCCCAGACTTGGGCAGGGAGGCCGGGGGAGGGCCCCACATAAGGAAAGAAAGTGAAGTGGGAGAGGATGGGACGCACCTGCCAGGTCCCTGCCCTCCCTCCGCCTCCTCCCAGTGCTTTAGCCATGCTCCCCAGCTTCCCCACAGGTCTCACGGCTGCCTTCTCCCCGGGCACCTCCCCCACCCAAACCCGGCACCTCCCCCACCCAAACCCGGCACCTCCCCCACCCAAACCCGGCACCTCCCCCACCCAAACCCGGCACCTCCCCCACCCAAACCCGGCACCTCCCCCACCCACACCTGGCACCTCCCCCACCCAAACCCAGCACCTCCCCCACCCAAACCCGGCACCTCCCTCACCCAAACCCGGCACCTCCCCCTCCCCCACCCAAACCCGGCACCTCCCCCACCCACGCCTGGCACCTCCCTCACCCAAGCCTGGCACCTCTTGCCTAGACAGTCTCAAGAGCCTCCAAACTGCCCTGCCTGCCTGCCTGCTTGCCCCCGCAGCCCGCTCTCCACCGTGGCCAGAGCGAGCTTTCAAAAATAGAAACGGCATCATAACACTCTCGCCTCGAGCCTCTCGGAGGCCCCAGGGCACTCACAATAAAAGCCGTGCACCCGCCCTGGCTCCGAGCCCACCCCCACTTGGCCCGCTGTCCTCGCCCTCGCCTTGTGCCCACGCTTCGCTCAATGCCGGGGCTCCAGCCGCCCCCCTCCGCTCCGCCCTCCCGCCTGACAGCCCGTATGGGCTCTGTCCTCAGCCCCCGGGCCCGGCATCCGCCTGCTCCTGGCACGTGGCACCGCTGCCTGTTTGTTAAGTGAATCAATCTCTGAACAAGTGCCTAAGTGCCGTGAACGGCCGGCGAGCAGCGGAGCGTGCGGGTGCAGGGGGAGCGGAGGCCCGAGGGGAGGGGAAGGAGCGCGGATGGATGCAGATGGTGGTGGACGCCAGGGCCGAGCCTGGAGCTGGAGCCATTGGACCTCGGGAGGCTTTGCTGGAGGAGGGGCTGGCCGGTGAGGTGCAGGGGGTGCAGACCAGCCTGGAGGCCTGAGGGGGTCGGATCCCTATCCGGGATCTGAACGGAAAGGGGCGAGGACACAAGAGCTTGGCCGACCGATGGCGAAGGCGGAGGGCCCTGGGGGGTTCCGGCGCCTTCAGCCACGGACACGAGCGCACAGAGCAGCCCCTCCCGGGAGGGAGCAGGGGTTCAGGAACCTCCAGCCTCTCTGTTCCTCCAGGGCCCTCCTCCTGCTGAGGGGCTTGCACCTGACCCAGGGCCCAGCCCGGGAGACCCGGGCATTCCTCTAGGTGAAATGCATGATGGGTGCCCTGGCAACGCTGGAGGTTCCAAGAGGCCGTTGCTCTCTCGTCAGCTCCTGTCCACACTGGGGAAGGCAGCCTGCTACTTGGCAAACTCCTATTCACCCGTCATAACCCAACTCGAATGGCCCTTCTTCTGGGAAATGCCCTTCACCACCACCAAGGGGTGCTCACAGCGGGTTCCTGCAGCTCCTGTCACGCAGTGCATGGCTTAGTCATTACACATCTATGTCCTCCATTGGACGAGAGGAGTTTCGAGGGCCATAGTTCTGCTCTGCATGCCCCACCCCCATTCTCCCTCCCCGCCTCCCGCCTCCCGTGCCCAGGAAAATGCCAGCTCAGAGTTAATGCTCGATGAATTTTGCAGAAGGGACTGGCGGATTGGGCCTCTGCCCATAAACATTGCCCACTAACTGGCTGCATACACCTCCAGATGGCTGAGCCTCTTGCTGGTTGTTCCATCTCTAAACTGACCCCCACGCTCAAACAGGAGCACCGTGCGCTCCCCGTCAGTAACTTGCTCAGGGTGAGCTGGCTGCCGCCTCGCGGAAGGGGGGTGGGGTGCCAGATGTCTGGGGCACCAGAGTCCCTGGGATGCACGCCAGGGGTTCTGAGAGCCAGGGCCGGGGTGGGAGGGTTGAGCAGGGCTGGTGGGGAAAGGCTGGAGCTTCTGCAAAGGGCCTGGGGCAGGAACCACTGCCTCACATACCGACTCCCTGGTCCCTGGGAGCCTCAGAGAGGAGGGAGAAGGAGGGGCTGCAGGGAGGGGAGGGCGTTCGCCCCTGGGGCAAGGCGGCCTTTGCTCCCAGAGGCGGTGTGAGTGCTTTACAACCTGCTGGCTGCCTGATCGGAAGCCACCGCACAGGGCTGCTCAGACACAGGGCTGCTCAGGCACAGGGCTGCTCAGGCTCAGGGCTGCTCAGACACAGGGCGGTTCGGGCACAGGGCTGCTCGGGCACAGGGCTGCTCGGGCACAGGGCTGCTCAGACACAGGGCTGCTCGGGCTCAGGGCTGCTCGGGCACAGGACTGCTCGGGCACAGGGCTGCTCGGGCACAGGGCTGCTCGGGCACAGGGCTGCTCAGACACAGGGCTGCTCGGGCTCAGGGCTGCTCGGGCACAGGACTGCTCGGGCACAGGGCTGCTCGGGCACAGGGCTGCTCGGACACAGGGCGGCTCGGGCACTTGCCCGGCCACACAGCGAGGAGGGGCAGAGCTGGGATCCACACCCGGAGGCCCGGGCCACAGCTTGTGCTCTTAACCACTGGCCTGCGGGCGCTCCAGCCTGTGGTCGCTCCAGTGGCTCCCCCTGGGCACCTGTGGGGCCTCCCTTCCCCCTGTCCTCCTCCTGAGGGTCCTGGGTTTGGGCCAAGCACCAGGTTTCCTCCTCGGCCTCTGGCTGAGGTCAGCCCCACTCACACTGCAGCCTAGTCCCAGCTAGACACAGGCAGCAGCCTAGCTGGCGAGACACGTGCTGTGTGGGCGTGTGCGTGTGTGTGCGTGCGCGTGTGTGTGTGTATTCGAACACGCGCATTGGTGCTGTGGTCACGTATGTGCGGTGTGGGGGACGGGGAGGAACACAGGGCCTCTGGGGTGGGGGCGGGGGGCTCAGCCTCACCTTCGAAGAGGAAGGTCTCGTTCCAGTGGGGGTTCAGGTTCTTCCTCTTCACCTTGGTCTCCAGCTTGTGCTTCTTGTCGGGCAGCAGGTAGATCTTGACGAAGGGGTCGCTGGTGCCGCTGAAGTCCTTGGCCGGCAGCTCCTGGGCCTTCATGATCTTCACGGTGAGCGTGGACTCCTGGAAGTTGTAGCCCACGCTGAACTGGATGCGGCCCAGGTTCTCGCGGCTGCAGCCCTCGTGGGCCTCGTCCTCCTCGGAGCCTGGGGAGAGCTGGGGGGGGGCGGGGGAGAGGCCGGTGTGTTGGGAGGATTCTGCTTCCCGGAGCCCCATGGCAGCCCCACACCATCCGGAGGCCTCTCTGCGCCCCAAGCTGGGCCAGAGCTGGGAGCTGCTTCATCTGTCTGCTGGCCATGGGGCGGGGCGGAGGGGGGCGCCCACATCCACACCCAGGTGAGGATGCTCGGACAGAGGGCAGGGGCCTAGCACAGGCTCACAGGGGGAGCGAGGGAGGGCAGAGCCGGCTCCACCCCCATCTCCTGAACCCTAGGGCGGTGGGCACCCCACTCCCCAGCCTCTCCCGGATGCCCCGGGTCCGCTGCCCTCCTTGCTCCACCCCGGGCTGCCCCCACCTCCCCTGGTACCTGAGCTCCCTCCACCAGCTTCCCACCCCCACAGCCCTGTGGGGTGACTTGTGTTTTGTGAAACACACCCACCAGCAGATGGGGGGCTGTGCACACCGGTGGCCCCTCCCCGGAGAGGGGCTGGGGTTCTGGGGATGGAGAGGTGACCGGAGAGCCTGATGCAACGTGGTTGGGGGACCCCGGGGTGGGCAGCAGAGTTGTTTAAAAGGAACCTCAGATGCCAGTACACACACCTGGTGAGGACCCCTGGAGGGAAGACTACCCACATCCAGTCCCCACCCCTGGGGGGGCGGACACTTGGGCCGGCCCAGCAACGGACAGACGGATGGAGGGCAGCATGGGGTCTGATTCCCAGGCCGACATTGAAATAGGAAGGAACCGGGGGCGGGTCTCCCAGCAGAGTCTTCTCAGCTGTGGCTGCTCCTCCTGTATCCAGGGAGGTCTGAGAACACTGCCCTTCCGGCCTCCTGAGCCCCACCCCGACCACGCCCCAGGCCCAGGGGCTCACGGGGCCCAGGCAGCCTGCACCCAAAGCTCCTCAGGGGATGGGTGAGAGCCAGGGTGGCCCAGGCGACACTGCCCAGCCCTGCGGTCTCCCCACTCGCCCCGGGCGTCTTTTCTTCCCTCCTGGAGAGTGGCCCACGCTCTGAAACCCTGAACAACCTCGTGATGAGAAGACACGTTGGGGGCACCTACCATGGCAGAAGACCCTCCATCACCTTCTTACCGATTCTCACCAACAGCGGGTCGGGCAGTGATCACCGCGCTAGCTGGGGAGACTGGCTCAGAGAGGTTAAGTCACACGCCCGAGACTGCACAGCAACACGCACCCTCTCTGCCTCTGAGGCCCGCTCTTGCCACCAAAGCAGGCCCATGTCCCAGGGCAAGGCGGAGCCTTCCCCCCAAGCCAGGGAGGACTGGCCGGCCCCGGAGGGAGATGCATCCAAGTCACAGATAGTAGCTGTGGGGCCCTGGCCCTGCCCTGAGCTGGGGCTTTGGTCCTCATTCTCTGTGGCATCCGGAGGGGGTGGTGTGGCAGTGTTCCGTTTGGTTTGGGGCCCGGGCAGGTTGCTGACTGGCATCCAGCCGCCGAGCGGTGAGGGGAAGCTCAAACCCGGGTCAGTGCCCGAGCACCCTGGTCCCGCCTGGAGCTGGATGGGGGCTGAGCTGCCCCCTGCTCCTCCTCACGGTGGGAGAGGGCTCTCCAGGCACCCCGCCCGCCCCATCCAGGCCCTGCGAATGCGGCTTGCCTCCCCAGACGCCGTTCTCCCTGGTGCTCCCCCCTCCTCTCACCAGCCCACTCCCTTTGAGCCTCAGTTTCCGCATCTGCAGAATGGGACTGTGAGACCTAGCTCGTGGGGTTCCTGGGAGGGTTAAATGGGTTCAGGTCCCTTCCATAGTCCTGCTCTGCAGTCTGGCCCTCGGTGATCCGCTGCTGGGAGACCCTATAATGACCTCTCACCCGCTTCCTTTCTTCCAAAAGTTGGGGTGGAGTCCCAGTGACTGGAGGTGGCCTGGGGGAGGGGCCGATGGGCCTCAGCAGGCAATGGATGTGTGCTTGCTCCCAGCCTTTCAGAGCCACAGCCTAGAGCCCTAATTAACCAGCTGGGACAGCTCCAGGAGCTGTTTCTATGGCAACCGAGCAGGCCACCCCCACCACGCCCCCAGGGAGGTGCTGCCGGAGCCCCTGCTCCAGCAGAAGCATCAAGAAGCATCTGGACTCTGGTGGGGGAGCTCAGCTGATTAGAGCATCGGCCTGAGACGCCAAGATTGTGGGGTACAGATAAGAATCAACTGTGGCTCAGTGGCTGAGCATCGACCCATGAACCAGTGGTCGGCAAACTCATTAGTCCACAGAGCCAAATACCAACAGGACAAAGAGTGAAATTTCTTCGGAGAGCCACATTTTTAAAACTTAAACTTCTTCTAACGCCACTTCTTCAACATAGACCCGCCCAGGCCGTGGTGTTTTGTGGAAGAGCCACACTCAAGGGGCCAAAGAGCCGCATGTGGCTCTTGAGCTGCAGTTTGCGACCACAGACCCAGGCGGTCACAGTTTGATTCCCGGTCGGGGCACACGCCCGGGTTGTGGGCTCCATCCCCAGTGCGGGGCCTGCAGGAGGCAGCTTGATCCAGGACTCTCTCTCGTCATGGATATTTCCATCTCTCTCTCCCTCTCCCTTCCTCTCTGAAATCAATGAAATTTTTTTTTAAAGAATCAACCAGTGAATGGATAAATAAGTGGAACCACAAGCTGATGTTTCCCTCTGTCTCTCTTCCTCTCACAAATCAACCGATCAATACATCCTTAAAAGCAGCACTCGGGCAGCGCCGGGCGGAATGACTCGGATGGGTGTGTGGTCCCGCCTCCCCTCTGAGTCTTCCTCTGGCCAAACCATGGGCGCCCAGGCCTCCTCCTGACCCCCAGCTTCGGACAGCCCGGGCCAGGAGCTCGGACAGCTGTTCACTTCCGCCCTGCTCACCTTCCTCTTCCCTGCTGATGCTAGTGACCTGCCGGTGGCCAGGGGCTGGCCAAGGAGGCCTGCCTGCCACCCAGAGCGTCCCCGAGGAGGGGGCCGAGGCCTGCACTTCCTCCCTCTGCCCGCGGTGGTGCGCCCCTCCCCGGAGCCGCCCCGCAGGTGGGCTGGCTGGGAAAGGGCCATCCCTTCTGGCAACCGGCTATTGGGAAGCTGGAGCCAATTAAGAGCCTGTGGGGGAGCAGGCAGCTGTGCGGAGGCCTGTCCATCCACGTGAGTCGGAGGGACAGGAGGGCAGTGGAGAGCTCGGCTCGCAAGGGCCTGGAGGGCAGGCCAAGGGGGCGGTGAGGAGGCCCGAGGGAGACCAGGGAGATTGGACGGCCTCATGTGCACCCCAGAGAAGTGTGGGCTCGTAGGCCCCCCTCAGGCCTGCTGCCCGGGAACCTGTGTTTTGTTGTTCATCCTTCCCCAGGGTATTTTTCCATTCATTTTTAGAGAGTGGAAGGCAGAGAGAGACAGAGAGAGAGAGAAACATTAATGTGAGAGAGACATATTAATTGGTTGCCTCCTGCATATGCCCCAATTGGGGCTGGGGATCGAACCTGCACCCCACGTATGTGCCCTTGACCGCAATTGAACCCACGGCCCTTTTGGGGAGCAGGCCAATGCTCTATCCACTGAGCCACACAGGGCCAGGGCAGCTAGGGATCTGCATTTTTTAAAGAATATATTTTATTGATTTTCCACAGAGAGGAAGGAAGAGGGATAGAGAGCTAGAAACGTCGATGAGAGAGAAACATCAACCAGCTGCCTCCAGCACACCCCCTGCCGAGGATGTGCCTGCAACCAATGTACATGTCCTTGACCGGAATCAAACCTGGGACCCTTCAGTCCGCAGACCGACGCTCTATTCACTGAGCCGAACTGGTTTCAGCATGGGGATCTGCATTTTAACAAGATCCCGGGCTGGGCTACACAAGGGCAGTAGGGAGGGATGGTTAGAACCGGCCAGAATCCCAAATGGCAAAGAGTGGGGCCTGGGGGCTCTGGGGCCCTCAGGGAGGGCAGGAGCTTTGGTGCCCACCCAGCCCCTTCCTTCTCACTATGGGGGAAGTGACCTGTCCCAGGTCATGTCCAGTAGGAACCCCGCTGGCCCCGCGTCTCCCCCTCCCCCAGCCTTCCTGGCGCTCCTGAGCTGCCACAGCTCCGATGGGAAGCAGAGGGTCGAAGGATGCTGCCGCCAGGGGGCGCCGGGGAAGCCACAACCTCTGCCTTGGTGAAAAGCAGCAGTGGTGCGCCCAGAACCACAGGATGGGACCCTGGTGCGCGGGTGCCGGCAGGAGAGCCCAGCAGCTGTTGTGTCCCCTCCTAGGGATCAGGACGGGGCCCTGCCTGCTCTCCGGCTCTCCTGGACCTCAGCGGGCCCCGCAGCCACGGGCTGGGAGGGTCCCTGGACGGGGATCTGAAACCAGCTCCACCGGGCGGGGCTCTGCTCATGGGCTGCCCCTGCTGGGCCCTGAAAGCATCCCGCATGGGCAGCCTTCCTCAGGCCCCTGCTCAGTCCAGAGAGATGGGGTTGGAGGGGCCTTCTTAGTCTCATTTGACAGATGGGGAAACTGAGGCACGAGCGGCCACGGTGATGAGAGAGCCGGTCACCACGCTGGGTCCCCGGGAGGGGCCCCGGCTCCCACAGACACCCACCTCCACACGCGCCCTCCCCCGCCCGGCCACACGGCCCGGCTCCAGCGCCGGCCGGGCTCCGGCCTCCTCACCATGAGCATCTCGCTGGTGAGGGAGTTGACGAGGTCCGAGACGGAGGAGCGAGGCTCGGTGCGGCGGTCAGAGTCATCGTGAGGCGTCTGGCTGGGCACTGGAGTCGTGTTTACCGCCTTCCCTCCTGCGGGCAACCTGGGGGCCGGGGTCCGAATGAGCGAGCCTGGCGGCGGGCGGGCGGGGCTGGGCCCCGGGGGCCGGGGGGCGGCGGGCCCCGCTCTCAGCCCCTGGCAGTGGCCGCCTGCAGGCCAGCAGGAACTGTGCTCTTGTCTGCCCTGCCTCTCCCCCCACCCCCGCCCTTCCCCTTTCCAGTGTGAGGTGCCTGGACTGCCCCTGTGGGTGCTGTCTGGGGGGTACGCCCATGCTACCTGTTCCCCAGAAAGCCCCCACCCTCCATCACGGCCTGCATGGTGACCTCTGAGCCTGCCTCCCTCCCCAGGGCCGTGACCTGTCCTGCTGCCCCCCCCAGCTGAATGGGGAGCCTGGGGGGCGGGGCTCGGGTGTGGAGCACTCCGTCGCTCTCCACATGATTACCCTCTGCAAACACCCAGCTGCCTCTCCCCCAGACGCCCCTCTGTTTGCCCAGGCTCAGAGAGAACACAGGGGCCCCTCGGACGCCAGACCGACCAGGTGAGGTCGGACCCCTGTCCTCGCAGCTCTGCCCAGCAGAACTGTCTTTGGCGACACGTGTCCCGTGTCCACGCTGTCCCTGGGTGGCCGTGGAGCGTGTGAGAGTGGCCAGTGCGACTGGGAACGGAAATCCTGTGGGACTGACACTCGCTGAGATGCAAAGGGCCACCAGTGGTTCTACTCGCTCTGAAGGGTGCACCTTTGAGAAGGCTCCCCCGGGTCAGAGGAAGTCGGGGTACCACCGAGAAGCCCCGGATCTGAGCATTCCCCAAGGCCTGTCTGCACCCTGCCTCCGTGCTGTGTCCAAGGAATCAGGCTCTCCAGCCGGCGGCTGCAGGGAGGCCAACAGCCCCCAGGAACCAGCTGGAGCCTCCCAGGAGGGGGCAGCAGCATGGGGGAGGTGGGGAGACGGCAGAGTGGGGCTCGGGACAGGCTACGGTAGAACAGCTGTGAGACGAGAGCCAGACGTGGAGACACAAGCCATGGCCTTGGGTGTGGACCGGCCACCAGCACAGTTGGCCACGACAGGCACAGAGGCATGCATGGAGTATGCAGGTCCTGGAGGGGTGCCGGGGCCCAGGAGCAGGGTGTGCGTACACACCAACACACACACGTGTGAACACATATACACAGGCATTAACACACATACACGCACACACGCAAGCCCAGAAGACACCCAGGGGACCGGGGAAGGAATGAAGGAATGGCACAGGCGGCGGGCAGGCCGACCAGAGCAGCACGATGACACACACACAGGGATGCGCACTGTGGCCCCGAGAGGAAACACGACTGGGGAGTGCTGCGGACCAGGGCACGCTGCACCGGAAGAGGCAGGGGCAGTCGGATGCACAATGCACCTGCCGTGGGGACGTGGCCTGGCCTGGCCCACACGGAAACACCACCCCACCGGGGACACGAGGGCACTCCTCCCAGAGGCACAGCCACAGCAGCGCTCATGCACACACACACACACACACACACACACACACGCGCGCGTGGATGCACACATGGACACACAGTGGACACGTGCTCACGCGGGCAGGCACGGGGAGGAAGAGGAGACTGAAATAGCTGGAGAGGTAAAGTCAGGTTAAAAATAGAGGGAGGAGGAGCGAGGAGACGGACTGCTGGAGGTATGAGAAAGTCGGTTATCGGGGCCACACCACAGCCTCAGCACAGCTGCAAAGCAGCCTGGGAAAAGATGGTCAGCGCCACGGAAGCTGTCGGAGGTGACGGGGCGGAGGCGGGGAAGGCGGAGGGCCCTCCCGGCCCAGGGCAGCCCTGTGAGGAGCAGATGGGAGGAAGCAGGCGGGAGAGAGAGGCCGAGAGAGGTTAGTTGGAGACGAGTGAGGCTGCAGGGTGCACGGGGACGAGGAGGAGCGAGGCGGCCGAGAGGAGAGGCAAGAGGAGGCGGGGGGACACACCGTGACAGGGAGACATGGTGGCTTTGGGCAGGACAGCGATGGGTGGTCAGGCCCGGCCCGGGCCGTCGGGCGGGGTGGGGCCATGGTGGAAACCATCTGGATCCCAAGCAGCAGTGGTGAGAGGGATGGCTGAGGCATGAGGCGGGTGGGTGCAGGGCCAATGGGTGAAGGTGGAATGCAGGGCGTGGGAGCCAGGGCCTCCCCCTCCCTCCCAGGCCCAAGAGCATTTGGGGGTTCTTGGGGGCCATGGCCTGGAGGCCCAGAGCCAGGAGAGCCTGGATGGGGCTTCCCAGACCCCAAGAATCCTGGCAGCAGGGGCAGGGACAAGCCTCCTGTCTTCGAGTTCTCTGCTGGATGCACCCCCATCTCCCTTGCTGTTCCCCCTTTCTGCCTGGAGCCGGTGCTCACAGGCCTGGGCTGCACATCCTCCCCAAATGTCCTCCCCAGCAGGAGACTGGGTGGAAACGGGGGGTGGGGGGGGTTGGGGGGCTTGGCTTGAGGCGGAAGCTGGAGAGGAAGGGGCAGTTGACTAAGACTTCGTAGCAAGGGGGGAACAGGAGCCAGGGGTGGAGCCCAAGGGGCCTGGCGCCTAGGGCGGGGGCGGGGGGGGGGGGATGCCAAGCTTGAGGTGGGGAGTGCTGGGAAGGAAGTGCTGGAGCCGGGACACCCTTGCCGCCCTCCCCACCCCAGTCCCCAGGCATGAGAAATGAGTGATCTGGATGGGGCGGGTGTGGCAGCTGGGACAGGTCCGCTGGGAAAGTGGGGGGGCTGGGTCTCAGCCAGGGCGGGGCCCCGCCTCCACCCCACCTTTCCCAGGAAGGCAGGGGAGCTGACGTCATGATCAGAAGGGACGGGTGTGAAGAGATGGAGGGAGACCTGAGTGGAAGGGGTAAAAATAGGCCGTGGGTGAAATGGAGGCGGGGAATCGAGCAGGGGTGATGCGAAATCGCGTTTCCAGCCTGTTCCCAGCCTGCACCGCGCCCTCACGCGCCACACCTTGCCAGGCCAGGCACTCAGCAGGCTTCTGGAGGGCCCAGCACCTCTCCCGCAGCCTCATGCCCTCAGCATGGCCAGCCCCCACCCCTACCCAGCCCAGCCCTGCAGCCACAGCCTGGGAAGTGGGGACCCCTGGCACCAGGCGAGTTGGGGTGGCAGGCCCTGATACTCCTGTCCCCGGGGACTTGGGCTGTGTCCTGAGTGAAAGGACTGGTCGCGCTCTCCCCTCCCCCTCCCCCTCTGTGGGGACGTGGCTTTGCCCCCCATGGACATGCACTGTGGGCTCTGGTGGGAAGACACCACAGGGCTGGTCCCAGAAGCCATGGGAAGCGGGTGAGCCAGCTGTCTAACTCGGCCTGCCCACCCCTCCCCTCCCCGGAGGCTCTGAGCACCGCAGGACAGTCCCTGCAGACCCGAGGGCCTCAGTGAGCAGACAGGGTGTCTGCCCGCTGACAGGGCCTGCCCTTTGCCCCCGCCGAGGGCCCGCCGAGGGCCGGTCCCTCCTGAGAAGCTCAGCACATCAGAGCTGGGAGGACCACCCTGTCCAGTCCTTCCCTTGACAGAGAAGTACACAGGCCCAGGGTCTGAGACCTGCCCTGGCTGGACCGAGTGAGGGTGGGTACAGTGCAGGGTGTTAGCCTGACAGTGGACCCACCCAAGGGGTGTGCGGCCTGCCCAGCCCACGGCCAGGTGACAGGAGGCGGCCACCGGGCGCAGGACTGCCCTGCCCTGTGATGCTGCCGGAGCCCTGGACCTTCCTCTACCCCCCACCCCCACAGTACCCCATGGGGTGCTTCCCTGGGAGCTGAGGACCATTAAATGCCCTGTCCCCACAGGGTCCCGGGGGCCAGCAGCTGCTCTCAGCCCTCCTCCATCCCCTCCTCTTAGTTCCTCAGTTCAAGGGCTGCCTTCCCCATCATGAGGCCTCTCCCCACCAGGGACTCCCCTTCCATCAGCCCATCAGCAGAGTAGCCGGCCACACCTCTGCAGTGGCGGGGAGTGGGGGCGACCATCACCCCAGGAAAAAGGGAGGTTGGGGTGGCGGGGATGAGGGAGAACGGGCTGGCGCCCCTTCCCTAACATCCCCCCGCCCGCCAACCACCGGGAAACGGGGATTTCCGGGCGGGCCAGGGCAGATGGAAGATGAGGGGCAGCGGGAGCAAGCGGGAGGATGGGCAGAAAGGCTGGCTTGCTCCGGGCGAGGGCGGGCAGGCCCGGGGAGCAGGCTTGATCCAGAATGGTCCCAAGACGGCCGCACTGGCCTCAGACCCAGGGGACACCCTGGGGTGGCCGCGTGTGAGGGCGCCAGCTGGGGAGGGGGGCCTCCTGCTCCAGCATCCGCTGAGGCCCAGCGGCTCTGGCCGGGTGGCCAGGCAGGCAGCCCCCCCGCCTCCGCCTCTGCCTCCGCCTCGCCGCCGCCTGAGCTCGTACCTCTTGTCCCCCTGAGCGTTCTGGTTCTGCTGGGTTCCTGGGTTTTGCAGGTCAGGGATATTGGCAAAGTCATCCTGTTCCGAAAGCCCTAAGACCAAGGATAGCACCACCATCCGGCCTTCCCTGCCCGGTGGGCAGCCCACCAGCCGGGAGCGAGGAGGCCCCGGGCGGGGCGGGGCAGGGCAGGAGAGAGACAGAGACAGAGACAAAAAGAGAGAAGAAAAAAGCATAAGAAACTGGCCCTGCAGGAGAGAAACAAACTTTAGCACTGTCAACAGTTGCAGAGCAGAGAGGGGTGCAGGGGGGAGGAGGGGGCGGGATGGAGGGGAGGTATTCGTGGCCTGAGACCCAGCTTGCCCAGGGCCCAGAGCAAGATTCTCCGGAGAGAAATGGGGAAGGGGCTGGCAGGGGCCCGTGGAGCCGGCGTATGCCTGGGGCCTCCTGAGGGGCCCCTGATGGGGGGGGGGGGCGGAGGGAGTGGAGCCCAGGCCCGGGAACAGGCAGACTTCTGAGGCGAATTCACCACCTGCTGAACCTAGGCCAGGGGCTCGGGCTGACATGGGGTCCTGGCAGGAGAGGAGGGGCTTGTGGCCACCCGCTCCGGGCTGTGCAGGCAGCTGTGGCTCCCAGGAGGGCGGTTCTTGGAAAGTGTGC